TATAAGCTAAAATCTATGCAGCACACATTCGACCCAGTCACCCTTCCAAACAATGTCATCCTCACATAGTTCCACAAGCGCCTTACTATTCAGAAGCACGACAAACCAAACATCCCCCATGAACAAAACCATCGATGCCCACTGCACACATGTACACTAGTGTATTCATGCAAGGGGCTGATGCCCCAATTTCTGGAGCCAAACCCAAATCCATTATATGGAGGTAGTCCAGTCCCAGGATGCTGATATCCCATCCGGGCATTCGACACCAGGCATTGTTGCGACAGCCATGGACAATGAATTCCTCGGTTGATACCTGAGTGCAGGCAATAGGGAACCCCACTAGCACAAACATACAAACACCCCAGAGTCAGGTTCAAATTCAAACGCCAAAACATGGAAAAAGAACATCGGAAACAATCACAAGCAAGAAACAATGGTCGACCGATGTGGGGCATGTGGACCATGCAGTGTGTAAGCCATACTTCCAGATTTTGTAGCATGACACAGCCAACACACCCTTTCGCTCACCCAACTGTTGTGAGTGTGGTAAGCTCGCTGCATATACTTGGCATCACCTTTGTGCAGTACCAACACACCTCGATAGTTTTCTGCTATGGGTTGGCCAGCTTTCCCCTCACGGCATTTCAACGGTCGGCCCCATGGGTCATTGGCGAACCATTTGCCCTCAGCTAGCTCTGTGAGACTCCAGGAAACCCATGTGTCCAAAGTGTCCCACGTCTCATCAACACAGTGCTGGTTGTCAGTCACATACACCAGCATACGTGCATCCCAAGGAGACATCTGGCCCACTGTAACAGATGACATAGTCATCACACAAAACGAACGTCGTCGGTGTGAGTCTGCGTCATCAGCGTGGATGACAAGCCCTATGGTTTTCGTGAGGTCAACGTCCTCAGGTACTGTTGCAAATACATTTGACCTAGCGCTAGCATTTATTGATGAAAAAACTGCAACAACTGATACGCAGCCAAAATTCTTCTCGTGAGAGGACAGGATGATTTCGGAAAAATCGAGTATCCCGATTTCGTTCCCAGAATTGCTCCAGCTCCTGTGACCGTCCCAAGAATAACATAACAAAATAAGTCAACACATGCCATATGGTAAGCACATGTGCATAGCATGCATGAATATGTGTGGCATGTTGAAGCCAAGCTACTCCCTGCTCACCCAAGAATCTCTTCTGGAAGATCTTCTTGTCATATGCATATAGTGATGCAAACCTTTGGGCAGTGAGGGGGAGTTCCCAAATGAGTTGTTTGACCATAGCCAAGAAGCATCTCAGAAGGGAGGAACATCGGCATGGTGGATAGTACATATTTCGGATCCAGTCGATGATCAACTTTCACTACATCTATCCTTGGTAAGCTGTTGGCATTAGTTTTTTTTTGGTCTTGGTTTGGCTCATCTCTGGATATCACAAGGGTGTTTGCATGTGTTTGCCATGTACAGTATGCTGTTTCGTTTTCACTAAATGTTTGCAATCCAAATCTCGACCAAATTTGGGGGAGCATGGATCTCCACTCTTGGCGTTCCATCCACCTCCAGAACAACCTAGGGGCATTTGGATTCTTCACTGTATCAGTTGCCTTCCGAAGGCCAACCAAATCTTTCAAGCCTTTCCTTGGGGAGAGCGAGAGAGCCAGAGTGGGTGAAAGGATCTAGGGTAAGAGGATTATATACTAGGTGTTTTGAGTACCTACCCCATGTACCACCAAGATTCGATTGCAACCGTTGGGGAAATCGTCTGGAGACAGCTTCCAGCATGGCAACCAGTGTTGTAAGACTAACCTTGGTTATCATGCAGTGCGTTCATAGGATGAACCCATAAGTGAAACATATTGATTTTGAAAGTTGTCAAAACTAGTCAGATAAGGCACCTCTTTACCAAGTTCGAGGAAGTCTTCAACCAAGTCCATCGCATCGACATGGCTCGCAACATATTTCATATCAAATTGTTATGTTTAAAAAGTAGTACTGTATTGGGATATATTGGATTGTTAAACTACTATGAAGGGTGACTCATATAATTGTTGGGGATATCTTGGAGTTGTTAAACCATGAAGGTTGACCCATACTTATTGGTTGTCTCAACATGTGTTGGAACCAATGCTGGCACACCAGGAGCCTACTTCCAGACCAAGATACCCGCTACCTAAGGCTTGCTGCGGGCACCAGTGACAGGAGGTAACAAATCAATACCTACATCCAAAGGAATGTTCTGAAGAAAGTGTTGCACGTTGAACAAAGCAGCGCTCATGCATTTTTTTAACCTCAAAAGCTGCCCCTGTGTTGGATATTGATGACTCAAGCCATTCCCGAGGTCCCATCAGTAACTTCCACGAAAAAAATAGAATGTTTAGGACAACCTGACCTCAGGCTCTAAGACTTGCCTGTCCCCCCAAAATGGGCCAATTGTTGGGCCCAACCTCATCGGAATATAAGTGGGTACACCCACTTAACATCACAATAATCCCCAAGGTCCGTTAGAGAAGACTATTATGTCATGGGGGATCAGTGGGAAAACCATATACTCTTCCCAACCAAAATGGACAGTATACACCATAGCAATTGTGTTTACAAAATCGAATTATCTATTTTTTTTGAAATGTGGGTTTTCCAAAGTATGGACCACATGATTCCCAATCTGACTTAAGTGGGTGCACCAACTACTCTGACGCTTCATCTTCAGAAGCGCTGTGCTCAGGCCCTGTAGCTTCAGCTGGAGCCTTACGAGGCTTGGAACCCTTCTTCAAGTTGATGCGGCGCTTGGCATCTTTGATGTCATTCTCGATGGGGGCGAACCAAGCCTTCTCATCTTCCAGCCACCTGAGGGAATAACTTGTTGGGTTAAGATATGGGGGGTCCAAGATAGCTTTCACTTTCTGGGGCATTGGGGAAACGTGGAATCAGTGCAGAAGAACGAGAAGTCTAGAAAGATCTTTTATGGAAGAAGATCATGGAAATCTAGGTTTCGGTAACCCCAGGGGCACAACCATAAACAAGCTAAGTAACATAACCAATTCTTCTGCGATCACTGAGCTGGGTGGCAGTGAACTTTTATCACTCGCGTCCCCAAAGTGTTCGCGAATGGTGCTCCAGTGCGACTCCAACGCTTTCACCTAGGCTTTTATGTTTCTATTGTTGGCAGGGAAAATTGGCACTGATCTGCTTTACCAATGTTTCATAAGTTAATACGAATAAGTCAGGGAACCAGTTCAGAACTGTTTGGGATCTGTAATTCGCCCATCTCAACGATCTTGGACTCAAGCTCATTGATAGCTTTCTTCAACCTGGGATGTGAAAATATTAAGTTCACTACAATTTGAATTCCAGCTAGCTGTATGGATATGTGTGGAATAACAAAAACATGTGGGTGCAGGGCTAGGAACTTGGCGACATATGCTTTCACATCTTTGAGAGCCATTTCTTCAGGGGACTTCTCCTTTGACTTGCCCTTTCGCTTGGACTTGATAGCCCCAGTCTTGAGGTCTACCAACCCCATATTGTCAAGATCGTTCACATTTTTGGCAATTGCCTTGGCAACAGCTTTCTTGGCAGCCTCCGATCTCACTCGCCCACCCACAGCATAATTTGACTCACCCCGGGTTTTCTCACCCTTCTCCTCTACTATCTCCGCAAGGACCTTGTACATCTTAGCTTTGGGGTTGTCGGATTGTGGGTGTGGAGTACCCGTCTGGCCTCAGCGTGGCAGGCAAAACAAAGAGAACCGAGAAACCAGAAGCAACTCGAGACCGAGGCAGATGGACATGGGAAGGTGCTACAGGGATATGGTTGAAACCCTTGAAAAAAAATAGGCCTAGATTCAGGACAATACTTGCACACTGAAGCCAAAGTACCTTTGATCAAATCAGCAATGAACTTTTGGGCCTCACTCGAAGTTCCGTATTTTTTTTCAAGCTGGAAAAGTGTCATGGTGATATAGCGGTCAGTGCGGCTTTCCTTAGCTGGCTCTGAGTTAAGATCTTGAGGGATATGACATCTAGCAAACATACTTGGCCAATGACACATTCCTGAATATACCAAGTTGTTTTGTGCAAACTAGTTTCTTCAACCATCTTCACATATCGCTCTTCAACATGGATCGAATCCAAGCTGTCATTAACGAGCCATGTTTTCAACATGCTAAACCTGACAAGGTGCAGAAACTTGTGTTTCGTGTACAGGGGTAGCATTGGATAATGGTGGTATCTTTCAAATGTTCTGATGAAACAAATTACGCACCTCTCTGTGTCACTGCAATTCTGCATCTTCATGACCAAAGCAGGGTTGCAGCTCCGGTTCACAGCTCGGCGCAAAGCCGAGTATTGCCTCTTACGCTCCTCAGTGGCTTCTGTGGGTGAGCAAGACTTTCCCCCATATGATATGTCAACATCATTTCTCAAATTTTCACGAAAATAGCATTGTTCCCCCAACATGTCAATCATACATATAGATCATTCCCCCAAAATGTCAACCATATATATAGTCATATAACTCATCAATTAGTACCCAAGATACCCATGGCATTTTTGACCCAATATATTTTGTGGGGCCCATTGACAGTTAATATAATATGAGTAGCCGACTCTTCCATATCTGCTGGCTGACTCATGTTTTCGATGGATTCCTTCTCGGCTTCTGTCAGGGCAGTTCTGCGAGCAACACCACCATTTTTGGCACGAGGTTCCGAAACCTGTTGTCATGGGCAGAGACCGGCCTGAAGACAAAGGGGTATGGGGACTGAAATATAGCTTGGGATGTTATTGACCAGTGGTGTGTTGGAACCAAGTGTTCATCATATGACAAAATATAAACAAAGGGGTATGGGGATTGTAATATAGCTTCAAAATATTATTGACCCACCAGAAAGAAAGAGCAGTGGTGTTGGAACCAAGTATTTATCAAATAACAAAATATATATCTTTTGTGCATAAAGGGGCCTCAGCAGGTGTCCCTGCCGCTGCTGAGGATCCACTCACAGTGCCAGTAATACTGGCTGGGCTCATAAGCTGTGAATGGTGTTGGAACCAAGTATTTATCAAATAACAAAATATATATCTTTTGTGCATAAAGGGGCCTCAGCAGGTGTCCCTGCCGCTGCTGAGGATCCACTCACAGTGCCAGTAATACTGGCTGGGCTCATAAGCTGTGAATCCGACAAAGACCGAAACAGGTCTAAGCTTTCCATGGTCCGTGTGGGCTCAATCTTCTGCATAGGCGTAGCAATGGGTCTGGGCTCCTCTCGGCAAGCCAGCTAGGGCCTAGCTAGACTGACATTTTTTTTTTTATGAACTGGAAGACTGGCCTGATGGGTGCTATGTTTTCTCAACTAACCCTGTCCCGCCCCCCCCCAAGCACCCACTCCTTCTCAACATCACTCCCAGACTCTGCCTCAACACGAACTGGCTTGAACCTTTTCTTTTCTGGCGACTCACCTGTGCCAGCATTTGCTTTCCTTGACACCTTCTCAATTTTTTTCCTCTTCATTGCTGTGTGCTCTGTCTCAGCCATGTGTCTCTTCCCATCATTTTTTTCTGGTACCTGCTCTGTGACCTCAGGCACTGTTTGCAGTGCTTCCTTTGCTTTCCCTGTTGTGTTTTCTTCCTGACCAGCTGCATCATTGGATGCCTCTACCTTCTTTTCTTTCTTGCTCTTTTTGCTCTTCTTTTCTTTCTTCTCTGATGCCTTCATCTCGCTCGAGGGCTCAGCTGCTGCTGGTGCTGCTGCTGCTGCTGCTTTTGGTTGTGCCACTCCACTGGTCTCTGGTGCACCTTCTGCCGATGCCATCGTTTGGTCTGCCTTGTCCTCCTGCTCCTTGGCATCCTTCTTGCCTTTCTTATCCTTTTTCTCCTTCTTGTCTTTCTTCTCTGGTGCCTTCACCTCGCTTGAGGGCTCAGCTGCTGCTCTCACCTTGGGTGTGGGCACGATGCCCGTCTGTGGTGCACCTTCTGCTGATGCCATCGTCTGGTCTGCCTCGTCCTCCTGCTCCTTGGCATCCTTCTTGTCTTTCTTATCCTTTTTCTCCTTCTTGTCTTTCTTCTCTGGTGCCTTCACCTCGCTTGAGGGCTCAGCTGCTGCTCTCACCTTGGGTGTGGGCACGATGCCCTTCTGTGGTGCACTTTCTGCCGGTGCCATGGTCTGGTCTGCCTTGTCCTCCTGCTCCTTGGCATCCTTCTTGTCTTTCTTATCCTTTTTCTCCTTCTTGTCTTTCTTCTCTGGTGCCTTCACCTCGTTTGAGGGCTCAGCTGCTGCTCTCACCTTGGGTGTGGGCACGATGCCCTTCTGTGGTGCACTTTCTGCCGGTGCCATGGTCTGGTCTGCCTTGTCCTCCTGCTCCTTGGCATCCTTCTTGTCTTTCTTATCCTTTTTCTCCTTCTTGTCTTTCTTCTCTGGTGCCTTCACCTCGTTTGAGGGCTCAGCTGCTGCTCTCACCTTGGGTGTGGGCACAATGCCCGTCTGTGGTGAACCTTTTGCCGATGCCATCGTCTGGTCTGCCTCGTCCTCCTGCTCCTTGGCATGCTTCTTGTCTTTCTTATCCTTTTTCTCCTTCTTGTCTTTCTTCTCTGGTGCCTTCACCTCGCTTGAGGGCTCAGCTGCTGCTCTCACCTTGGGTGTGGGCACGATGCCCTTCTGTGGTGCACTTTCTGCCGGTGCCATGGTCTGGTCTGCCTTGTCCTCCTGCTCCTTGGCATCCTTCTTGTCTTTCTTATCCTTTTTCTCCTTCTTGTCTTTCTTCTCTGGTGCCTTCACCTCGTTTGAGGGCTCAGCTGCTGCTCTCACCTTGGGTGTGGGCACGATGCCCGTCTGTGGTGCACGTTCTGCCGATGCCATCGTCTGGTCTGCCTTGTCCTCCTGCTCCTTGGCATGCTTCTTGTCTTTCTTATCCTTTTTCTCCTTCTTGTCTTTTTCTCGCACCTTGACCTCAGCTTCAACCTCTTGGTTTTGATTTTGCTTTGCCTTTTTCTGTTCCCTCTTAGACAGACTCCCTGTGCCACTCTTTGGAGTGGCGTCTGTAGCTGTGACCATCGCCTGCCAATCCCAGTAGGCATTTGAGAACATAATTTAATGGGCCAAATGGTTGTTTTCCCAAAAAATACTCTTTTTTGTGAACCCTGCCTTCCACAAGCCTCGACCCAGAGATTCTAGGTTGGTGAAACTTCACAGGGCTCTGAGCCTAAGTGACCTGTTTGTGACACGCCCGTGACACGCGTTGACACGCACATCTGCGATTATACCGTAAATTGCTAAGTGACCACTTTCCACTTGCTAAGTGACCACTTTCCACTTGCTAAGTGGACACTTTCTCGATATCAAAAAGGGCCCCCTGACACGCCCGTGACACGCATTGACACGCACTGACACGCAGGAAAAAGACGATCGAAACCTTTTCTCCAACCTGTGGCCAGGCGAGCTCGGATCAGATCCAATGGGGGATCGGTGGCATTTTGTTTCCCCAACAACAGCCATGTGTGGAGTTCACACATGCAGTAAGATTATGAATTGTAACTACCGCTCTCTAATCTGGATCACTGTTCTTCGGTATAAGAAGCAGTAGTCTCAGAAGATCCAGAGGTCATTGCAGCATCAGAAGAACTGCTACTATCAGCGCTGGCCATGCTAGAATCATCACTGCCACTGCTAGTTTCATCATTGCCCATCACTGAATCTTCACAGCGGCAGTCAAAGCTAGTGGCCAGGAGATTGCCATAACTATGCCTGAACAGGGGAGCTGACCATACCTACTAACTGACTATATATATGGGAATTAAGGGAATCAAAACATAATCTAATATGTATTGGAAATCCCCGAGCCTGTCCAACCACGGTTCAAACATATTCGCCCAGCACGATGCGCAGATCTTGTGCCCAGCAACGTCTTCCAAAAGGGCAATGTAATCAGCACGTCTCATGACATTCATGAGAGAAACGGATGTGTATCCTAGCTGGGGCCTATGTTTTCAGAGAGCAGAGTTGGCTGCAAAGATAAGCTGTGATTCCTTACTGAAGTGCATATGGTGTAGCTGATTAGCCATTTACTTTTTGACTAGTATAAAAATTGTCACAGTCAGGGAAACCTTAAAGCTGCAGCCAGTGTATACAAACTACTTTTTTTTACATCAGCGTCAGTGAAGCTACTTCTGCTACTTCAGCTTTCGCCAATGGGCATTTTTTCGGCCATTGGGAAGAATTAGGTCGTCCAAAGCACCCCAGTCATCATCATTGGGGTCATCAGCTGTGATAAGAAAGTCCTGCATGGGGCAACCACTACCTACACCAGTGCTTGTGGAGGCAGCAAAACGTCTACTGCTGGCAAGGGGGCCCTGTCAAGTTGAGATGGATTATATGTGTTCAAATTTGCACCAAAGAAATTGCATTCCCCCAACAAAATATTTACATAGCAGCTGTCGAAAAACAAAATCAACGATATAATTATATGATGTGGTCAACCCAATCCCAGATTTTGTTTACCAACCCTTGTTTGGCAATATGGGGATGATTGAATGTGGCTTACCATATCTGAAGTAGGACATGATTTTCGAATCCAACCCTGCCCTGTCCTGAAAGGTAGCTTTTGACCCTTGTGGCTCCATCAAAGCAGCCAATGCATATCCAAAACCCGGGGGATAACTGGCGCTCTCCTTCAGAGCTTTAGATATCCCCGTGACCTGTTTTTTGCCTCCTTTTGATATTGTCTTTTTGACGAGATCTTTTTTTTTCCTGGGCCCAAGTTGATTCTTTGGATGAACAATATTCTCTGGTGATCCCACGTACCCATTATAATATATAAATATTACAATTCTTTAGGGCCTCGATTTATTTATCTTTTGTATCAATGGGGCCAACTATAATTTGGGAAAAAAACGTTTATTTAAAAAACATAAATACTTTAACCAAATGGATCGTTAATATCTTTGGGAAACCAAACCATGGCCCATTATGATTTGAATTTTAGTGCACCCAAGTCAAAATTCTCCAGCACTCCTAAGGTCCCCAAATGGCGACGAGTTGTTCAAGGGAAAAACCCCAAATTATGATATAAGATACATGCAGCGGACGTATCTGTGCTTGTGTTGTGCTATAGTATTATTCCAATATATTTTATATGGACAGACGTATAATCATGATAGATGTGATCTATAACGCGAGCGTGGTTTTTTTCGTTTGAGCAGCGACGCTCCAAAAGAGAACACCATTGCAATGGTGCAGAGTCAAAACATTGGCACTGGAAGTCAGGAATGTCGGGACAACATTCCCATGACAAGGTGTGAATATCATAGCCAAGGCAGTGTAAGATGTAATGCATGCAAAAATCAAAACATAATCACCATGATCAAAGCCAACATCAACTTAGTCCTGCTCATCATCATCCGTACCAGCATCATCATCTTCAGCATCACCATCACAATCATCACATCACATCGCATCACTGCAAATGGTGATCACAATGTCGAATAAAAACCATGTACCACAGATCACATGTCATCATCACCACCATCATCATCACCATCAACATCACTACAAACACCATCCACCATCATCACATATCATCACAGTGCAGGCTCGTGTGCATATTCTGGTTTGGTTAAGGGTTATGGGATTCAGTTCCCAACAAATCACTTAATCAGTAATCAGTGATCTTGTTCTGGTCTAGTGTGTGCATGTGTGTGTGCGCGTGTTTCCGCGCAAGTCGCGTTATCGCAATATATACGACAATATATCTGATATATTATAGGCGAACAGTTACGACCAACAGCCCGAGGCCAACCCAGTCTCCACTACAAGAGAAGCCACTGACTTTCGAGTTGAAGCCTCAGTTTGCCGATATCCAGAGGACGCCGGAGTGCTCGTAGGTTCGGAATCGTTCCGTAGCACCTTGTGTTAGCTGGATAAGAACTGGCAAATTAAATATGGTTCATGAAACAGAAGTACCTCAATTAAAATAATGTAATTATTGGTAGTACCCCCACAGTAGGAACCCCCCAAATGGGTAAGACAATTGACAGAGTATATATATAAAAAAAAAAAGGGTCCCAGGCACACAGTCATCTTCAATGTGGGGGATCCAAACGAACCCATAGGGAATGACACCCGCATGGCCCTCGTGAGGATAAGAAATCGTTTCATCGGCAAATACTGCCAAAGGACCTAGGAAATTTTGAGACTCAAGGAACCCAGCCTAGGGACTTCACAGTTTGCACAGTTTGCTGGTGCATCATATCTTAAGGACAAGCATCCGAGGACATTGGCTGCTCTATGATCCAATGTATACCACGTTTCCAGGCATAAAAGAGTCTCAGTTGTACAAGGTCACATCTTTGAAAACATATTCTAAATCATATGAAATGATCAAATTCCATTTTATTTTTTCCCAAGTAACATGTATAGCAGTCGCCGAATGAGGATGTTCTGCAGTGCGATGGTAGTCTTGTGGAAATTACCAGCTGGGTTTGTCCATGACCTACCACTTTGGCTTCGTGACCTTAAATCAGAAAACAAAAAAGGCCATTTCTAAAATTAGACACTGAACATGAGTGAGTGAAAGTATCTTGATAATGGAATACCATGGAAAACCCAAATCCTGAAGTCGAGACACAGCCATATCCAAGATGCACATGGTGGAGCAGCAATAATCAATGACCCCGGCTTCATATTTCGAACCTGCCGCAAATGAAGTTATTCATAGCACATGGGATGCCAGGTGTGACATGGGGATCCTAATGACAAGACCTATTAGTTGATCAGTTGTTTCTTTTTTTGGTTGCAGTGAAAAATATATGGCATATGCGTATCTTAATTTGGGTGTAGCATAACTGCCAAAAAGGTGCAGCTGCAAGCATAGCAATGAATCCCACAGTGCGCATGATGTTGTGGTTCTTGCTGTAGATCACCTCAGATGCCAGCGGATTTGCACCATATATAATTTAGTATTTGGCATTCTTCCCAGCATAAGCTATATATAATATGTTTGAACCTTTTTCCAACAGGCAACCTTGGTATTTAACACGGATCTTAAACATCAGTGTATAATGTTGGGCCCCCTGTCTCCATACTGAATCTAAAGTAAACCTGGCCATGCCACATCAAATTCCTTCCCGGAAAATCCACAATCGCGAAGTGCCGAGGAAACAGCAGCATCTCCAGCACATAGTTCAACCTGGGCCAGCAGGACAAGGTGCGCCACTAAGGGCCTGGAGAAAAATTGCACCCCGTGTAGGGTGGTAAAGTAAACATGCCCCCCCTGGGTTGTTGCCAAGTAACAAATTGATTCGGCTTTGATGGAATAGGCACTTGCGAAAGAAATGCCAATATAGGGAGCAAATTGCTGGCCCTCATCCCAAAGATCTACGGAACTTCAATAGCTCTCTCATAGCTACTGGTAGCAGAAATGCCAACAGAATAAACTAGCAATGGGGTGCATGCATGCACATGCTCATCTATGCATTGTGGAAGTTGACATCGTGCATGTGACTTGTAACTGTCTATGATGAATCAGCTGGTCGATCAATTTTTCAATATCTTAGACACATTGTATTTCTCAAGAAGCCCAGTGACAAGATTTTGTCAGGGCAAAACCCGATCACATGTATGCAGCGTAGTGGCAAAGCAATTTGCTGGGTTATAGTTTTGAACCAGGTAAGACACCACATAGACTATGCTACTGCTGTGTGAACACATACCACAGTGCTGCATACAGATCACACCCCACTTTTTGGAGACCGAATCAAACAAAAACTCGAACGTGTTTCTTGAGGCCCAATGTTTCAGGTTGACCTGGCCCTCCTACTTCTTAGTCTTACACTTCCCCGCCGCCTTGGCTTTGGGTTTTTTCTTTGGAACTGAACCCTTCGTATTTGTGGGTTCATCATTCGAGAACCCACTCTCCATGGCCTTCTTCAAACTATAGTATTTTGTGTTGTCCGGTGATATGAACACCTTGTAGGTGGTGTCTTTCAACTTGCCTGACATACGGCGCCTCGTCTCGATGGTCCAATGGTCCTGTCGATTTTGCTCAAGATGTACAACTT